CTGCCTGCTTGAAGACGTCGGCGTTAAATAGCTTAATGGCGCAGATACCAGTAATTTGACGAGCGCAAACATTAGTAAATCGCGTTGCATGATTCATTTTAATATTCTCCTCCCATAAATTTTGCGTCTGAAAGGTTAACTCCTACAAATGCATATTCAATAAGGTCAGGCGCAAAAATAACTGTCCACGCCTTTTCAGCGCTAATTCTTCACTGCGCGTCTTTAGTAAATACTGACAGTACTATTTTAACGCCAAAAGACGATTGGCGCTGGCACAAACTGTTAGTAAATCTGGCCCAATAAGTGTGTATGTGTATAGTATAATTTTTATTTTAAAATGAAATAGTTTGCTGTAATATCACAAAGGCAATATTCTTATTTTTCAATCAATTTTGTGCAATTACATTTTTAATCCTTTGTTTACATTTAATGTGCTCTGCTCTGTTTACATTCCTATTTCCACTGCTTGTTCATATTCCTCATGCTAACTTTAAGCATATTAGTTTTTTTTTTCATGAGCTTGGTTTGACGTCAGAGTTTGGTTTGGTTGAAAGCAGCTTTCTGAGCTCTGTTTTGGACCAGTGAAGCGCACACGAGTAGGGTTGGGTACCGAAACCCGGTACCTATGTAACCGGTATGTACTAGAACCGAATCAGAACGCAGATTTCGGTGCCTCATTTCGGTGCCATGGCTGAGCGATCGATTGAAATATTTGTCCTCTGGTTCTCCGAAACGGACGTAAGAAGCATCATCACTGGCACCGCACGTGAAAAATAATTTCCCGACTGAGAAAATGCACGTGAACTCAAGTCGGAAAGCTCTAATAATACAAATTCAACAAATCTTTGTAGTAACGAGGCACCAGAACCGTTTTAAAAGTATCGATTTGGCACCGGTATGGAAAAAAACCCAAACGATACCCAACCCTATTCACAAGTTTCCAAACGGCTACAATGATGCTTCCTATAACTAGTTTTGACATCATTTGTGTTTCAAAACCAGTTTTAATAGACTAGTTAGATCTGGTTTCAGATTAGCTCCTCCTCGAAAGTCACACATCAGAAACGAACACTGATTGGTCGCTTCACATGTCAATCAAACCACCCGATCCAGTCCTAGCAGGCGATTCTGAGCCTAAATAAACTGCAACTTGGATCAGTGAAACTCTAAGGTCAATATTTGACTTCATTCACATCAAGCTTACTCACTGTTGATAGTTCCGATGGTTGAAGGAGAACATATGTAAAGTCAGTCCTTGTTTTTGAGTCCTTCAAGCCTAAAGCACACAGCGCTGAACACCTGCTGAATGCAAATTCAATAATATTGGCCGAACAGATTAACTTTGCTTGACAAATGAGCAAAACTACCATACTTCAGCATGCACTGTTTGCCAAGACTGCTAACACGATCAGAGTTCACATTTCAAAAAGTAATTGACATTATTTCCATCTGTAGTTTCTCCCAAAAGGTAAGAAAGCGATGGCTTTTGAGAACCATAGTAGTCGAGAAATGATTCTCCAGGAGAGCTGATCTTCGTCTGCTGGATTATTAATATTTAATGGAGCTGTTTATGATGATTAGGTCAGACATGAATATGCATGGCTCTGACAGGAGGCGGCGCAAAGGGAAGCCAGAGGCATCTGTGAGGCAAACACTGTGTAAAAACAGCACAACCTAAATAGTTAATTCAGCATGTGGCTTTAATAGCAACACTGCAAACCCTTCATGAATCACTGAAATCACATGCAAGTAGGTCAGTGCAGGTTAATACACATCAACAAACAGGCACATTCAACATGCAATTAACTTCAAATCACGATCCGGATGATTCTTCATTATTTTGAATTTTAAAAATGGTTTATTTTCATAAAATGCCTTGGTCTCTGAAACATTTTGCCTTATTTGCTGATTCTCAACTCCTTCCTGACTTAAGTAACACCCACTTTTTGACCATCCAATCAATTCCTGATGCAAAAAATTAAGCCCCGCCCTAAATATGTCTTTGAATATCCGTTTTCACTCATGTCAGATTACAAAAGTAAAATGTGCTGTAAAATATTATTTCTCCAGTTATGAATAAAAAAATAAATAAAAATGGTAAGTTATTGGAGTGTGTTTCACAAGAAAATACCATTTCAGTTTTTCTACTTAATTTCATGTTTAATTCAATGTTACATTTACTACCAATTTCTGAGCAAAAATAGTTTCTACACCAAATATTTTTCACTGTGAGTTGCGAACAACATTTCAGCCATAGTTTAGGCAAAAATAGCATTGATGGTAAAATTAACACTACAGTGCAAAACATCATAATGGTCCTAAAATACGCTTCATTGCAAAATATGTTGATATTTATGCAACATAAGCATGATTGATTTAGACTTGATTTATGCAGAATAAGCATTTATGTTTGATAGTAAAATTAACGTCACAATGCAAAACACTTTAATAGTGAATTTTTTTAACAGGATTTTTTTCAGTGTGGGTTGCGAACAACGTTTCAAGTTGACTTCAAAGTCAAATGCACAAAAAAATAATTTGTTCCGTTGTTGATTACTTGATTTTCCTTTTATTTTCCACTCCTGCCCACAGCAAGGTAAGAAACCCAGTCCAGCAGTGGCTTTCTAAACCCTCCGCGGCTCTGGAACCCGTCCAGCGCTTCTGACACTGTGAAATATGATATCTCAATAGGAAATTCAAAGCAGAATTTCAGCTATAGATAGCCATAAAAAGACATTTCAATACGCTCACTGCACACTGGGAATGTACTGTGTTTCTACAGCTACTCATTTCACAAAGTCTGACTTCAGTAAGTTAGAGAAATCAATGATGTCAGCCAGCTGGACCTTAGTCTTGAACTACAGCGAAACCATATGAAACTGAATAAACAGCACTCTCACATTTATGAGAAATTCACCCGAAATGAGAACTCGGTCATCATTTTCTTCCCTTCATGTCACACCAAACCACAATGGCTTTTTCTTCCCTCAAACACAACAGATGAAATTAACAGAAGAAAACTCTTGCGAAAATTGCGGCGTTTGCTTGATTTTGCGATAAATTCAGCGATCGCAGAATCCTGGAGGGACTGACAAACTGTGTAGCGAGTTACACGCTGAAGTTCAAAGCTTAACATCAAACATCAGCAATAATAATAATAATAATAATAATAACAGCAATGTTTAGTATAAAAACAAAACAAGTACTTTAACAGCACTAAAGCACAATGCTCAAAACAAAAAGCAGCAAAGCAGCACTAAAGCTCATGTTTCAGTAATAACCAAAGCGTGTTGGGTGTGCATTTTCAGCTTTCTCATGCCCATGTGAGAGCGAAACTCATTCTGATGCAAGAGCTTTCAGTAGCACAGAAAAAACAGCTCTAACGATCATCCGTTCAGCTGAAGACAGCAAACCTTCAGTGGTACAGTCCATGCCTGCATTACACATATCAAAGCAAGCAGACCAAAGGTGGCTTTTATCTGGATTCAACCCAGCAGCAGTCACACAAACACACCCTGACCAGTGTCAGTTAGGAAAGTGACACAGCAGTCATTATCTGCTCATGCAGACTCTATGGATTCTAGCTTATGGTAAGGAACCAAAAGTATGGGGCAAGTTGTCACATGTGTTTTATATGCAATTTTTTTTGTTGGCAAGTGGTTTGAAATTGTTTTGCATTTCATAATCATTTCACTCTTTCAGTCTTCGTTCAAAGCCTATAATATGCAAGAACAAGAGTGTGACAACATGCCCTGCTGCAGGGGTCCGTGTGTTCAAATCTATTTTTCCTGTGCAGTAACAGTGGAAATGTTCCGTTTTTTTGTAGCCAAGACAGTTCACGCAGACTGATGTTCGCCGGAGTAAAAGTGTGACAACTAGCCCCGACTCCATAATAACTTTAGCTTAAAAGCACTGGCATCTTCATATCAGTTCACCTCAACTTCAAGGCAATTTAATACTAATTCATCATTTAGCAAACACTTATCTCAAGTGACACTTATTACAGGCACAATCCCACTGGAGTAACTCATCTTACAGGTTTCAAATCTACAGCCTTTTAGCCTACACAACTGGAAGCCTATTTCTGAAATATGAGGGGGGGAAAATTATCTAAATCAGTTACTAAGTCATAATTATGGGATAAAAAGTCAGAATTATGACGAGTGAAAATTATTAAACATCATAAAAAGTTGAAATTCTGAAATTAAAAGTCACTATGACATGAAAAGTGTCATTTTCTGTCAATTATGTCATCATTTTGACATTTATTTCATAATTATGACTTGGTACATCACCATTCTAACTTATATTAAAATAATGTTTTATCTAATAATTTTCTCATAATTCCAACTTGCTCTCAGCATTAGGGCTTAGTCATAATTCATAGCATTTTGTCATATTTCCAACTTTTTATCTCATAATGATAACGTTTTATCTAATCATTTTCACTTGTCATAATTCTGACTTTTTAATCCATAATTACGAGTTAGTATGCCCTAATTTGTAACCTCACAATTATAACAGTATGTCAAAATTTCTATTTTATCTCATAATTATGGATTAATATGTCATAATTTTGACTTTTTATGCCATAATCATGATTTAGTATGTCAATTTATAAAAAAAATCTGACTTTTTATTTCATACTGATAGATGACTTACTATGTGATAATTTATAACTTTTGTGATAATTCCATTTTTTTCCTCTAATAATTATGACATAATAATAAGAATGACTTCTTATCTCATAGTTATCACATATAATTGTTTTGCCTTTTTATGTCATAATTTCTAACCTTTAATATCAGAACTCCGACTTAAAATGTTTTATCTAACATATTTTTTACTTTTGTGACCATTTCGACTTTTTATCTCACAATTATGACACAGTATGTCATGGTTTGGTTTCGACGTTTATCCCAGAAATATGACTTGGCATGTCATAATTTACCAAGCTAATGTGGCAGAAATGGGCTTCCATTGACAGCAGATCATCTCACCTCTTTAACTTTCTCCCTCCGCTGAAGCGTCTCGGAATCCGGTGGCGTTCCCTGGTTCTTCCCCAAAGCTGGTTTGAGCAGACACGTTTTAAACGCCTCATAGCTGTAAGCGCTGCCGCGTTCCCCGTTGTGAGCAGCCGAGGTGACCCGCTCGTCTCTGGCCGCCGGTTCCTGCGCCCTCGCCGGACTCCACTCCTCCTGCGCTCTACTCCCAACAGATCTCTCCACGGTTCTCGCTCCATGGGTGACCGAGGGCTTGCGGCTCACTTTGAGCTTGACATTCGCCCCCTCGCCCCCTTTTAAACTCGCCCGCTGATGCTCTGGATCCCCTGGCACCTTTTTGGAAAGCTCATTGTCGTGGCCCACTGTCACCGCGGGATTCTCGTTCTTGGAGAGGAAGATGCGCTTGAGGCGCACGGTGTCGGGGAGAAAGAAAAGTGCCCCGAAGCACAGAGTAACCAACCCCGACAGGAACAGCAGAAACACGAATTTCTGAGACAGACGAAGCCCCATGCCCGATGCTGAAACACCGGGTAACTTTCGGAGCACCATTTAAACTCTCCACTTACGCGTGACGCAGGACGATACACTCTTAAACTTGGTTAGAAAGCGCAAGCGACGCGGCTGCCGTGCAAACTGAACTCTCTCCTGGTCAAAGTGCCTAAATCTTCCTGAATCGATCGATTTAAGAGACCACAGGTGGCGTCAACACATTTGCGCACAGCAACAGCGTCATTGCGCGCTCACTGCTTCAAACCCAGCTTCCTTTAGTTTCAGAGCAGTCATGCAACATCTCATCTGGGAGACCGAAATGAGACTAAGGTCTTAAATGCCAGTGTGTTAAGCACAGCCAAAACAATCTACACGCTGTTAATGCCCATCTAGGACACGAAATTGAAACTATATGGACTTAAATGTTCTCTATCAAGTTAAAGCAGCATTTAAGTAGCATATAATAATATGCACAGCCAAAAGACATTACATTAATGAATATTAAAACGTCTCAAAAGCAAGCAAAGTGCCAGCAAACACACTTCTTTCTGAAAATGTCAATGATGCTCAACTGGAATTATGCGTTTATGAGCATAAATGCACTTTTAAAAAGTTAAAGCAGCATTTGTGAAATCTATATTAGTATGCACAGCCAACATGTGTCAATAATGCATATTAAACACCTTATTAGGCGAGCAAATGCCTGCAAACACACTGAAGATGATGATGACGCTTTATGAACTTAAAGCAGCATTAAAGTGGCCAATAATGTCATGCATGTATCACACATCAATCACAATACATGCTACGTCCCTACAATCATACAGATTTCTGAAGATGATGCGCAACTAGAAGACTAAACAGAAGCTTCCTGAACTGAAAGTCACATTCGTGCATATTAAAATGCCTTAAAAGGCAAGCATCAACGTTGTGGTTACACACAACTGCTTTCTAATAATGATGCTGCTGCTGCTGCTGAAGACTCATGGCTAAACAGAGCAACACTGAAGTTCAGTGAATGAAATAAGACACATCTCAGCCGAAAACCCCCAAAACTGCAACATCGTGGGTTATTTCACAACATCTATGCGCGTTTGGCACGGTGCACACCACTCCAGCACACAAGAGCTGCAAAAATACATCCAGAGATCAAATCAAGAGTGTCAGCGAAGCGACGAGACGCCGAAATTCGGTCCAAGTGTTTGTAAAAACTGTTGGTTTCCTCTGTTTAAGCGCCGTGCATGCTCAAAACTCTCCTGTGCTCCGAAAGTCTACGTCCAATGCGTGAAGAAGGATGTTTGTGCTCGTAAAACGTGATCGGCAGATGGATGGATCATTCCTCGGAAATGTGACCTAATGAAAACACGCTGTATCTTCCCATTACTGCGCGCTCTCTTCCGCGCTCGCCTGGTTTATCGCCAGAGAAGAACGGAAGAAAATAAACGCCGATCGCTGCGGGATAGTCTCGTGGTGTAAACGCCTTGATATGAAGCCGTTATGATCCGCAAACAGAAGGAGAAACAGAGCTCTGTGACTCCACGACTATCCTGGGCGGTCTGCTGCAAACGCCTTTGATCAGCAGCAGCGGGGAGCGAGGGGGAGCGAGTCATTAACGCGCGCAAGAGCGAGCCGACACATCCACCGTGTGGCGGGTTGGGGTAGTAAACTTGGAGAACGGAGGTTCTACTCCATTAAATAAGATACATTTGAATTTGCAAGTGGTAAGTTTTAGCATTGTATATGGTTCGGAAGACCGATTAATTTGAACCCGAATCGGCGTTCGATGAACCGATTTAAAAACCGATACACAAAAAGCTTTCCCAGAAGATTTGATTTTAGTTGCAAACTTGCCGTTTAGTCATTATGTTTACGTCATTATGTTAGATAGGTTGGGTAGAAAAGTTTGTTTAGGCTATCGTCCAAATTATTGCTATATTCGTTTTTATCTGTATTCAAAAACTATAAAAAATACCAAAGTTGTAAATAAAACGTTTTAAGTAAAAAAAAAAAAAAAAAGGGGGAAATTAAAATATGGCGTCTATCGTGGTGAATGTTGCCATAAGATGCTTAAACGTGAAAAACTATTTCAGTAAATTGTGAAATTTAGCGATTTCTGAGTGGAAATTGTTTCTACACATTTTTTTCTTACATAATAATGAGTGCTGTCAACCGATTAATCGCGATTAATCGTATCTAACATAAAAGTTTTTGTTTGCATAATATGTGTGTGTACTGTATATAAATACACACACATGCATGTGCATGTACAGGTGCATCTCAATAAATTAGAATGTCGTGGAAAAGTTCATTTATTTCAGTAATTCAACTCAAATTGTGAAACTCGTGTATTAAATAAATTCAATGCACAGAGACTAAATTAGTTTAAGTCTTTGGTTCTTTTAATTGTGATGATTTTGGCTCACATTTAACAAAAACCCACCAATTCACTATCTCAACAAATTAGAATATGGTGACATGCCAATCAGCTAATCAACTCAAAATGTTATGTTTATATATTAAATATATTTATTTATTATATAAATTATATGAATATAAGTATAGACATGTTAATACATGTAAATATTTTCAATATATATACTGTATGTATGTGTATTTATATATACATAATAAATATAAACAGAACACACACATATTATGCAAACAAAAACTTTTATTTTGTATGCGATTAATCGCGATTAATCATTTGACAGCACTAATAATAATGTTAATTATTAATACCGATTATAGTAGTAATGTTAACAATGTTGTTTTACTCTCGTAGCTATGTGCAATAGGCTATCAGTTCGACCAATTCATTAAAAAGAACGATTCGTTCGCGAATCGGGCATCACTACTGTTTCACCATAACGAGTGTGGCATCGGAGCCGCTTTTCTGTTGCCGAGACAACTCTTCTTCTTCTTCTTCTTCTTCTTCTTTTTGTTCAATGGCCGTTGACTCCTTAGGAGTATTACCACCACCTGTATATCTTACGCTCATGGGTGATGAATCTGTATTGCTGTCACCCCAGAGGATCAGAGGCCAAGCTTCAGCATGTTCAAGACAACTCTGGCACCTTTCTTGATTTTCCTTGGCTGTCAACAAGAATTAGGCCTATACGCATGTGCAGTACCATCTTTGCAGCGACTCCCACCACGAGAGACGCCATATTTAATTTTTCACATAAACAGTCTGTCCAATGGGTCGTACTATGGCATTATTGTGCAAAAAAAAAAAACTATAGCATTATTGTCCTGTCATCTGAATAATTGACACTCATTGAAAACATACCCGTGTGAAACATTTTCTAGTGACAAACGGCTTTGAAAAACACATGCTTGACAGCTCTGCAAACACACATTTAGCACTAAAAGCCTTGTTTTTTCTGCAAAACATTAAATCTAGCCTGACTAGATGGCTAAACAGATGCAAGACACTCATAATTCAGTATGCACACACACAATTCAATATGCAAATCAACTCAAAGATGCAAAGTCAAGTGATTTCAACCATTTTGCTCAAGAAAGCAATGCATAATACTGGCAGTTCTCAATCCTTCCCATTCATATCAGTGGATGTTTCTTGGTTGGTGCAGAACATACTCAATCTGCCATCGTTGCTCAGGTTGTTTTGAGTCAATCACCTGAACATTTCCATGTTACAAATCACTACAGGCCACAATTAAGTATAGGTCTTTGATAACTGTTGGCATATTTGATCAAAACACACAAGTCATTTGGAATGGTTGGCAATTGGACTAAAGAAAAAAGCCTTTTTCTAAATGCAGCCAATGGCCTTTACAAACCAACCAAGCCAAAGTTTTTGCTAACTTCCCTTCAAAATCCCGCCCTTCAAAGTCATATCAGCCAATCAGATGACAGTGAAACTCAAATTGGTTAAATCAGCACTGTCTGCTTTATATGACATCTTCATCAAACTATAATCTTAAAAGTATAATTAAATAAAACAAAGTTTCCAAAGTCTAATCCATTGCATTGCTTATTGTGAGAAGGGCCTGTACAATGTTTAATCACTCCTCTGCCGTTTTGTCTAGATTTACCTCGGTTTAGCTAAGCCAAACGATTCACGAATTTAAAGCAACACCAAATCAAGGCAGCGATCAATGCAGAAATTCAACAGATTTTCCAATCAAACCAGACAGAGACAGAGAGCAGTTTTTCCTGCAACAGAACAAGACGAATGGTCCCGATTAATCAGGTGTTGATCATTAAGAAAAAACAACCAACCACAGCAGAAACAAAGTTAGTTAAGGAAAGGTCAAGAGAAAAGGTATAGTGCAACCGGCAGCAGAAAATGTCCATTCGCTGCTGATTGTTCAGGTCTCACGGGGCGGCTGTTTACAGGCCATTGCTAATGGGAAATGTAAGCTGATTCCAGCACAGGATGTTTAATTCAGACGAATAGGAGATTCAGAGAACTGTGGAAATGACCTGCTCTACAAAACCTCACCACAATAAAATGATGCTTTGATTGCGAATATGATATTTTGGAGACAGTAGATCTTCACTTTCACATGCACAAATCACATGAGTGTTTGGTAGACATGGAAAAAATAACGTAAATAACATAATGTAAATAACATTGCGTATGATTCATCCTCCTAATTTTCACAAAAAAATGACATTTAAAGGAATAGTTCTTCCAAAAATGAAAATGTGCTAAAAAAAAAAAAGTTCTCTGGTGAGCCGTGCAAGATTAGGATGAGTTTGTTTCTTCATCAGATTTGGAGAAATGTAGCATTGCATCACTTGGATGCTCTGCAGTGAATGGGTGCCGTCAGAATGAGAGTCCAAACAGCTGATAAAAACATCACAATAATCCACAAGTAATCCACACCACTCCAGTCCATCAGTTAACATCTGGAGAAGACAAAAGCTGAAACAAATCCAGCATTAAGATGTTTTTCATTTCAAACCGTTGCTTTCAGCTAAAATACGACTCCATAATCCATAATAACGCTTCCTCCAGTGAAAAAGTCATCTGCTCTGAATCAGGAGAGAAATCTGCACAGATTAAATACAAAGACAAAACAGTCTAAAACAGCTCTAAACAAATATGTGGCTGGATTTTGATGCGAGAGACAACAGGAGATGCACTTTTTCACTGGAGGAAGCGTTATTATGGATTATGGACTCGTATTTTGTCTAGAAGCAACGGTTTGAAGTTTAAAACGTCTTAATGATGGATTTGTTTCAGTTTATGGCTTCTCCAGATGTGAACTGATGGACTGGAGTGTTGTGGATTATTGTGATGTTTTTATCGGCTGTTTGGACTCTCATTCTGACGGCACCCATTCACTGCAGAGCATCCAAGTGATGCAATGCTACATTTCTCCAAATCTGATGAAGAAACAAACTCATCTACATCTTCGATGGCCTGAGGGTGAGGACATTTTCATTTTTAGGTGAAATATTCCTATAAAACACTGAATTAAGGAAGTCTGCCGGAAAGGGTTTCCCTCTGGGCATGAATTGGAAATGTTTCCCAATGAAGCATAAAATACTCTCTGTATGCAGACTTTCATTTTAGTA